GCCTGAAGCATTGGTGAGGATTTCGGGATAATCGGGCAAAGAACGAAAAAGTTGGAAAAACTAAGTTTGGAATTGGAGTCAGAGAGGTACACGGGCCGTGTTGGATTTACACTGCGAAGGAACACGGGCCATGTTGACCAGAAAAGAAGAAGCTGTTGACCATGCTGAACATGGGCCATGTCATTTTTACCTTATGTCCAACACGGGACGTGTTCGACCAAGAAACAAACTTTTGGTAATTTTTCCTATCTTTCATATTACGGGTCAAGGGTGGTTTTATAGACACACAATATACCAGAGCACATTTTTGAGAGGGGATTTCAACGGTTTTTGCAAGGGGTTGATCAGTAATCTTTTGGAAACATTATTTCTAGTATTTTTAAGTTGTAATTGCACTTTAGATCCATCTTTTATTCTTGTGATCTTGTTCTAGCCATGTGTGACTTCAATGTATTCTTTCCCGGGACACAGTGTTACTAATTGTTTATGCCTAGATCTTTCCATACAGGTACACCATTGCCACTTAATTCGGAAATAAAGAAGACTGCAAAGAGAATATGGAAGCAAGCCAAGATTCGTAAAAGGCAACTGGTTTCCGGGACTTCTTCATCATCTACTCCCCTGATCATCAACATTTGGGAGGACATACACCTCTCAAGTGTATCTGTATCCGAGACAGAAAGCCTAACACTCTCATCTCAACCATCCTCACCCAAAAATACCACTCCACCCTCTTCACCTACCTATAATACCCCTAACACTACACCCACAGAAACTTCAACCACTACTCACACCATGGGAGATAACCATGGAGGGAAACCACCTCCACACCCACCACCCGAGCAAACTCTCTGCCAATGGTCGAGGCAAGAGGTTACTCAACAACCTCTTTGGATCACATATCCGGCACCACAAATCTAGAACTTAAATCTCGACATATTCACCTACGCCCTACCTTTAGAGGCTTGGAAAATGAAGATCCCCACAAGTTCCTCATGGAGTTCGATGTTGTATGTATGGGCATGAAACCACACAATGTCACAGAAGATCAAATTAAGCTTAGGGCATTCCCCTTTGCAATGCAAGATGCAGCCAAAGACTGGCTTTATGACCTCCCACTGGGGACGGTAACTATTTGGGTAGATCTTGCGAGGTTGTTTTTGGATAAATACTTCCCAGATATGAAAGCTTCAACACTACGGAGGGAAAGCATTGGAATCGTGAAGCATAAGAGAGAAGCTTTTCACACATATTGGGAGAGATTCAAGAAACTTTGTGTCCGCTGTCCTAAGCACGGAATTACCGAGTACCAACTCCTCCAACATTTCATTGAAGGAATGACTCCAATGGAAAGAAGGCTTCTTAGTGCCTCTAGTGGAAGATCTTTACCCGAAAAGACTCCAACTGAAATTTGCAACTTAATGAAGAGCATGGCTGATGATTGTAACCATTCAATTCATGATGAAGAATGGTACAAGGATGCACCCCGAGGTGTAAAGGAAGTCCAAAGTCCTCAAGTTGAAGCTCAATTGTCCGAGCTTACAAAAGTTGTAATGATCTTGGCTAAAGACAAGGGTGTCTAGCTCACACCCCGCCCTTGCGGTATTTCTACTCAAGTAGAGCAGCCAACTAACATGTGCCCTCAACTTCAAGATGAGGATTATGAGCAGCAATGGGAGAATTTTTCGGGTCAAATCAAAAGGGATATGAGCAGCAATGGGGCGATCAAACATGGAACAACAATAAAGGTTGGGGAGTATATCAACAGGGAAGTTATCAACCAAGTCAACCAAATCAATGCGAACAAAGACGACCTTTTCCAGTACAGAACTTTCAGCTAAGGCAGCCACAACACCCTCCTCAACAAGCGGGTTCATCAAGTATGTCCTAAGAGGACATAGTGAAGTGTTTGAACACTAGCACCCAAACTTTCCAACAAGAGACAAAATAAAGTATAAAGAACTTATAGCAACAAGTTTCACAGCTTTCTATTTTTGTAAGCAAACTAGAATCTGAAGGAAATATGTCCACCCAAATTGAAATGAACCCAAGGCACAATGTGTGTGCCATCACTTTGAGAGGCAGAAAGAGCTACGATGGTCCAAAAGTGTCGGTTGATCAAGAAGTAAAAGAAATAGTGGTCGAAGAGGCAACCAAAGATGAGAAGAAGGAAGATAAAACAACCGAAAAGAATCCTTTTGTCATTGAGTCTAAAGACACACCTTCTCCATTCCCCGAATGATTAAAGACCACAAAGAAAAAACGGGAGGAGAGTGAGATTATGCAAATGTTCAAGAATGTTCACATTAACATCCCACTCCTCGAGGGCATCAAACAGCTACCTAGATATGCAAGGTTCCTTAATGATCTTTGTGTATCAAAAATGAAATTGAAAGGAAACAAAATCATCAAAGTTGGGGAAAATTTATCCGTGGTTTTGCAAAATAGGATGCCCTCGAAGTGCAAAGATCCCAGTATCTTTACCGTGCCATGCAAATTGGGGAATCTTTATGTACCTCGGGCCATGCTCGATCTAGGTGCATCCATAAATGTCCTACCATATTCTATCTTTAACTCAATTGGTGGAGGAACATTGAGCAAAACCAGTGTGATCATCCAAGTTGCTGATCGGTCTTTGGTACATCAAAAAGGTGTATTGGACGACCTGTTAGTGCAAGTTGCTGAATTTGTTTTCGAGACTGATTTTTATGTCTTAGATATGGGAGATGATGACTCTCCAAGTTCAAGTTCCATACTTTTGGGTAGACCTTTCCTTAAAACTTATAAGACAAAAATTGATGTCTACAATGGAACTTTAAGTATGGAATTTTTTGGTGAAGTTATCAACTTCAATGTTCATGAAGCAAAAAAGATTCCTTCCGATGTTTAATCTTTCAATTTTGTGAATGTGATCCATCCCTCAACTATAAAGGGCTTAAATTTATCTAACAATGAATTTCTGGAGTTAGTTTTGTCATAAAAACTAGAAAGGGACAAAGACAAATAGATTATAAAGGAGTTTGTTATGAATAATGAGGTGTTGGATATGAAACCCAAACCACCTACCATCGAAGCCAAACTCCTTCCACCTATGGAACAAGCACAAGATCCGGGAGCAAAAACTCTACCGGAACCTTTAAAGATAATACATGTCGAGAAGGAGAGCACTTAGCCGGTCATCAACTCAAATAAACTATCGAATAACGAAGAGAATGAGTTGATAACCCTGCCGGACAAATACCAAAAAAGGATTGAGTGGACAATCTCCGATATTAAAGGTTTAAGTCCTTTTTGGTTTGTGCATAAAAAGAAAGCCAAAGGAAGGTTGAAGGTTTCGTTGAAGGAGGTGGCCAGAAGATTGATGTGTTGGGGAGGCCCGCATACTTAGAATGAAGCATATGTGCGGGCCACGTCGGGCCAACGACTTAATACAAGGGCGGCTAACCGGGAGGCAACCTGGGGGTATTTTTGTCTTTTTCTTTTAAAACATTTCCATTTCTTTGAAGTTTTCGGTTTTTAATGTTCCAAATGCATTTAAACAAGATTTAAAATCATAAAGCAAACCTCGGGTTGCAAAAACATTTCATTAATGAGAAGGAGATTTTTGGGTTAAAAAAAGTGGAAGTGGCGATCAGAGGTGTACACGGCATGTTCATCAATGGCAAACACTTCGGCAGTCAGAGGGGTACATGGCCCGTGTCATTTTTCCCTTATGACCAACACGGGCCGTGTTCAGCCAAATCTCACATATTTTAGACCCAAGACAGGCTGTGTCAGTTTTCCTTTATGCCCAACATGGGTCGTGTTCGCGCATCAGACCTGGTGGTTTTTAATGTTAAAAATCGGGTTTTTACCTCATTCTTCCACACACTCTTTCCAAAACAGCCCCTTTACCCCAAGAAAACTCCAATGTTTGATTTTCATCAAAAATCCCTTGATTCTTCATGATTTTGGCTTAAATTTTAAAAAGGTTTGATTTTCATCTTCCCACTTCATCTCCTACATCTAATACACCATCTTCTTTCATTTTCATGGTGGATTTGTGGGTTTTGACAAACCCTAGGTCCAAAAAAAAATTAGAATTTTTGTGCATAATTCATCATGTCGACAAGCTTGGGGAGGTTGAAGACGGTCTTTTTCACCAACATCAACACATTTCCACTAACATTCAGTACATTATTTTCTATTCTTCACTTGTGTAATTTGTGTTCTTAAGGTCAAATTGCATGTATCTATGGTCATTTTGGACTTGACAATAACATGGAAATCTAGGTCCCCGTCACCCCCGCCTCAATCCCCACCCAATCCGACCCATGGTGGTGTTTTTGTATTGACCCTATTCAAGCTGCCAAACTTGAGGCCTTTCTCCAACATGCACATACTACCCAACAATTTACGCATGTGCCATCTCTCTACGAGTTGCACATCTACAACCAAGTCTACAACTTGTTCTGGAACATTGGATGGCAAGGGTTGTTAAGGGTCCACGAGCTCATCTATAAAGTTCCAACAAACGAGTTCTTTTCTTCGGTCTATTTGGACCATGGTGTCTTAAATTTCCAACTAATGAACCAAGATCATGCCCTGTCCCAAGACCAAATCAATGCATTGTTGGGGCCCAAACAGAAAACACTTTTGGCCCCAACGACTCGATTCATGGATACAAGGATCTTACGTGGTGGACCGATGTTACTCATCTACACCCGTATGTCTTAAATTGTTCTATGGCCTCATTTATCATCCATCCTGTGATGAAAGTGGCCCATCGGATTCTTGCTTCGCTCGTCACCACTAGAGAAAAGAGAAGCACCATTAGTGCTCTTGAGCTAGAAATACTCTATGTAATGGCCCACCCGGACGATAATCTCATTCCTTACTATGGCTCATTCCTGTTTAACAAACTCACCCACCTCAGGACATCACGATCTGGAAAAATATCTTTTGGTGGCATTGTCAGTTTATTTGCCAAAAGTGCTCCAGTCCGGGCCCCATATACTCGATTTCACCAACCTCTGCTAGTGATAATTACCTTACCACGGGATTCCTTGAGTCTATGAGAATGTTTCAGGCAGAGGATGGGAAGCATAATTGGACCATGTGTCAAAACCACGATCCAAGGCTACTAATCACCCCAGAGAACCAGGACATCCTTGCCCTCAGGAAACCTAACAACTTCACCGACTGGCAAATCGCACCATAGCTCTTCCCCGATTCCTTCTCTAAAGAGGAAGAAGAGGAAGATGGAGACAGTGACGAGAGTGGCAAGGCAATGCCACAAAATTCTCCTCCCATGGGTGGTGTCGGCTCATCCCATCAAGCTGGACACCCATCCTATCACCAACAGTATATGGATCAATTCCAATAGATCCATACCCGCCTCTACGCTTACAATCAAGATCTCGCGAGCCTGACTCAAAGTTTTTCTTCTTTCACCACTCAATTCACTCGGGATCAAGAGCGCCATCGTAAACATGAGGAGGAATTTTGGGCTTGGACCCAAAACTCCGATTATTACCCTTATCCTCCTCCTCCTCCACAATAGGTTGTCGCGCTCTCTCCAAGCATCGGGGACAATGCATACATTTAAGCTTAGGGAGGGGTAGAGTTGTACATTAGGTGCATTTCATACTCATGCATGCCTTTCTTTAAAAAAAAAACAAAAAAAAGAGTTTTTATTTCAAGTTTTTGCATTTTATCATTGTTATCATTTTCATGCATCATCATCATCAATCAAAAAAATAAAAAACTAATAAAAGGAGTATGAAATGATGACATTCTTTACATACAATAGCTCCATGAAGTGGGAAACCGAGAACTCAAATGAAAAAAATATACTGAGGTGATTGGATAGTTACCAGAAGCGTAGAATCAGCTGTCATAACTAGGGGAACCAAACACCGTAACTCGAGACCCCAACTTAGATAATAATAAAAAGTGGAATACAGAAACGTTTTGTGGGTGGTAATAACAGCTTTAGGATGATTTACTTTTGAAAATTTAAAAAGAAATTCTATTGACAACTCTGGACCCACAAAATGCAGACCTATTTATTGACACGTGTTACCCTCGCGGTAACAGAAAGATTATGTATCAGATCCACACAGTCAAGAAAGAAGGAAGGGTACAACTGTCATATCCAGTACCCAAATCAGAATTTAAAGTGCCAAAATGATGAAATTATAAGAAATTCAAAAGTTGGTTGAATAATTCAAGCTCAAACTGAAGATACAAATCCAAGTCAATAAAAAATCAAAAGTCGCCCCAAAGACAAATGTTGCGAATGAAGAACTGTGTGATATGATGCTTTTGGCTCTTGAAAAATTGAAAACATAGGAGTTGGGCCCATTCGGGTGGGCTCACTGTTTCAGCGAAAGCTGATTCGACGTGATGGGTTCTTAAGGATGCGTCGATTCTGATTCTTGATCATCTAGTCTTAAGGACATGAGATCCATACTCTGTAATTTTTGCCTACAAAGCTAATTAAAGTATGAAGTTTAATTAAAACTATGGTTGGGTTATTGGGTTATATCGTTTCGGGTCTTCCTCACTTTGGGAGTCTGTGATACGTAGAAGGAAAGCTGATGGTTGCCTTGGTATTAATGATTGGAGCCACATTGATGTAAAGCCTGATTGTACTTATATAAATGATTTACTTGTGTCTTCAACTTATTTTTGGTACATTTTGCTTCTTTAGTGCTTTTGTACATTTTTTTTCTTTTTCATGGTTTACATTGCATGTATTCATTCCTAGCATTTAGGATCTTTCTGTCCCTTTTTGCTCTATGCTTCTTTTTTCCATCTAGAAGTCGTCCTGTTTTGTCCGATTCTTGTTCTTTATTGGGGACAAGAAAGGTCTAAGCTTGGGGAGATGTGTTAGACGCATTTTGTAAAAAAATTTGCACATATTTTAGTCCCTTCTTATACATCTATTTAGCATAATTGTCCTTCATTTGTCTTGCATTTCATCATATTTAATGTTAGTCTCATGTATTTTTCAGGTAAGATGGAGTATGGAATGCGGTTTAGGAGGTGTAGGGAAGCATTGGTGAGGATTTTTGGGATGATCGGGCGAAAAACGAAAAAGTTGGAAAAGTCAAGTTTGGAATTGGATTAAGAGAGAGGTACACATGCCGTGTTGGATTTACACTACGAAGGAACACAAGCCGTGTTGACCATAAAAGAAGAAGCTATTGACCATGCTGAACACGGGTCGTGTCATTTTTACCTCAGGTCCAACACGAACCGTGTTCGACCCAGAAACCAACGTTTGGCAGCTTTTCCTATGTTTCCTATTACGGGTTAAGGGCCATTTTTACAGACACACAACATATCAGAGAACATTTTGAGAGGGGATTTCGAAGGTTTTTGCAAGGGTTTGACCAATAATCATTTGGAAACATTATTTCTAGTATTTGTCAGTTGTAATTGCACTTTAATTCCATCTTTTATTCTTGTGATCTTGTTCTAGCCATGTATGGCTAGAACCCTAGTTTCTCCAATTTCATGATTTAATCGAATGTTTTATTCAAATTGTGATTCTTATTGGCCATTTAAATTAGGGTTAGGTCATTCAAGTTATCTCTTTTACAATATACGTAATTGTTTTGTGAAATTGAACAAGTAACAAGAATTAAATTGATCTATATTGAATGAATTTAGTGTGAATCCTATTCACACACTTTCACACCCACGAGCTCGTGAGGAGTATTGGGTGTTGTTGGGAAGATTCACATAAAGCTTCATGCAATCTTTTAATCTAATTCTAAGAGCTTGTTTAGATTAGTAAGGTTAGGGTTAATCAAAGAGCTTATTTTGGTTAATTAATGTGGTCAATGGAAAGTGTTACAACATATTAACACTTTCAAGTACCAACTTAGATAGAACTGAATGAATATTGTGTCATCTTTGAGTCACATCTCTAAGTTGTCATACATGAAGTTGTATTCCTTACAAAATTTGAATTTAATTCACTCATTTAGCTGACTACTTGTGTTTTTAATTTGTTTGTTTAATCATTGCATTCAAATCCCCCCTCTTTAATCTTTTGTGAACAAGTACCTTGCGCAAAAGCGTATTGGACCGATTCTCCCATGTCTCTGTGGATCGACCCTACTTGCCTTGTACTACATGTTAGCGCAATATAGTGGGAGTATTTTAAAGTATATCACACCCCTTTCTTTGTTGGGTTTGACATGCCTAACATTTACCAAGGATGTATTATTCAAAGGAATGATGCAAAATTACAAATATGTTGCAGTAAGAGCAAAAAATATGGTCTTTGACTTCTCAGTTGCTGATTTCCCATTATTGAACCTATATGATCTTTTAGTTTTTGCGAAGCTCTTGAAGTCAATTGAAAATTCGAAGATGCAAAAAGTTAACAAGGAAGATTTCATTATACGTTTCAAACACTTAAGGGTATTCATTGATGGTTACTATGGATCCCTGGCCAGAACTGCTATTGTTCTGGCTACAACGTTAAGAAAGAAAGTGTTTGTTCCCAAATTGATTACAAAAAATTAGTCTTTTCATAAAGATTACGAAATGGGAAGATATGTTTGAAGCCCTTGGGGATTGTGTTATTGGGAAAGAATAATAAGGGTACATCGACAAAGTTTTTGTTTCAACTAAACGAAATTCAAATATTCACTTCTTTGCATTACACAAATTTGTTTATTCGAATGAATAATTGTGCTAAGAATAGTGATTAGAAGAAAGCTTAAATTCAGAAAATAATCAACTAGTACTCTGAGAAAAGAAGAGTGTTACACCAAGCTACTCAACTCTTCACAACCTGATTTCAACACTGATTACAATGGGGGATATTGTAGATGTCAAAGTGTGTTGTAATGTGTCGACAGTATTTGAGTAGTTTTAAATGTTAGTTATCTATTTACAAAGGAACTTGAGTTTCGAATCTGTATTGTAATGGTCCTTTGTGTTTTTTAAATGCTTTCTATTTCTCCTGTAAGTAGGGGTTGAGACTTAGAGATAGGTAGAACTATTTCTTCTTGTATTCTGTCTAAACTCTCTCTGTATTCGGAAAGCATAAATGAGATGAAACAAGATTATATTTAGTCTAGGTGTTCATAATTCTTTACAACTCTGATTTCATTTCATTACTTGATTGAATTTCTTCTACAAATTCTACTAACCAAGTCTGACAATGAAACAAAGTAGAAATGGAAATGAATTGGCTTAAACAATCTTAGTTTAGTTTGTTTTATACTTGAGAACTTAAAGCAGTACAAATGTTAATTTGATTTTGCAATTATTAAGTGAAGATCTTTATATATAATGGAGATCAATAATTTCATTTAGCTTATCACAGTGTTCAACTTTTGCATGTTAGAACCCACTTCCCGAGTATTAATTTACTCAAACGTCCACAGTCGGTCATACTCTTGGAAGTAGGTAGCAATTCAAGACAGTCATGAGTATTGGTGGATTGTCAATACTGATTGGAGATAGCATAGAGATTATGCTAACACTCATGAGTACTTAATAGAGATTTAAGTATTGGACCAACCTGCACTTAGAGAATACTTCATGCATACAGTCACGAGTTATTCTAGGATGATAATATCTTCTATTCTTCAACCCTAGATACATGTGGGATTTTTCTATATGATTATGTTATGTATTGTTATACTCCAACGCTATCCATAACTTGTAGTTATCAAGGGTATGTTGATATGTGACATGATGAAGTAGAAAATAACTCTATAGTTGATGTATATTTGTCTCTTCTGCCTTGACAAGAGAAGCGATATCTATAGACCCCTCAATGATTTGGTGCTGAAATCTAAAGTGCTTGGTCGAGCCCTGATTAAAATTGTTGTGTTTAGTTTAGTAGTCAGATGCAGTCGTCACAAATCTATATCGGGAAACATAATCTTAAATTATGAGATTGACCATTTAACATGTTTCAAGTTCATATTGATATCTAGACTAAATGGATAGTTGATCACTTATCTAAGGAGTGAATCAAGATTAGCTGAAGAATTTGGTAGTTGCATTAGATGGCTAACTCTCTGTTAACTATTGGAGAAGTATTGGACCATGTATAGTTGATGATTTATCCAAATGCGAGACTGTTGAAGAGTGTCCAAGGTCATTAACTATTGATAATATTTCTAATAATTATAGGGTCCTTTTAGATCTCCCTCAAGACCCAAATTGCGGAGAATAAATATAGTGAAATTTGTTTATTAATTATTATGGTTAGTAATTAATTAGAAACTAATTAGAAATATATTTTGAGAGTTAATTAACAGTTTAGTTAAATAAAGGGTTGAATATTAAATTATCAATAATTGGTTGATCAGGAATATTCTAGAACCTTTATGGAATTAGGGTTGGATG